ACTGATGTTTCCTTCAGGCTGTAGATCTGCTGAATATCAAATGGTACCATAGTTTCGTTTTTATTTCTCTTCTTTTTACTACCTAAGCTTGAACCCTTTTCCTATACCAACTGTATGCGTGCGTGTGTGTGTGTGTATGTTAGATTAGTTAAAGTGTTTATGTAGTTAATAAAGTCTTACTTGTATATGATAAAACAAAAGTTATGAGCTCAAAACACTGTCAACCTAAAAGTGTGTGCTTGATAGTCCAGGTTAGAATAGGGCGTGACTTGAGATATTTGTGTCCCTATTTGCTGGCTTGTTTAAATGCAGATAAAGTAGGGGCTTGAATTGGTACCACTATTATGATTGAAAGAGTCTTTATGTATTTCATGCTTAAAAGGGACATATGAACGCTTCAGGAATTTGGCCAATCACAACGCACTGGATAGCTGGCCAATCAGAGCACACCTCGCTTTTCAGACCGATGAGCTTTGTAAAAATCGATGCGTTTCAGAAAGGTGGGGCATAGAGGAGAAACAATAATGTACAGTATGTGGAAAATAATGTGTTTTTGAACCTTAAACCGCATAAACACATTGCATTACACCAAATACACAACTTAATGTTCTTTTTAGCAACATCATATGACCCCTTTAAATGTGTAATTGAATCAGAAATGTTAGTATAATTCAAAATACTGATTATGAGCATAAAAGCTCATTTAACATAGATTCACACACAAAATCCTCATAATACAGGATATACATTTATTATTATTATATATTTTATACGAACAGTCTGAAATGTTCAAATTAGCACCATCAAAAGTGTCAATTTAAGTACTGATCACGTGTGCAACTACTGACATACAGTACTGGAATACAGAAGCGATATTCACGGTACCTGGAACATGAAGCTGTTGCACCAAATAGTTCTGACAGAAGCACATAGATACAATATGTATTAAATAATCCCAACAAACATTAAAAAACACGTTTCATTTAAATACATACAAAAGTACAAGAACAAAACGTGGAGAAACTGCTGAATTTCACAGTAGTGAAATTTGTCTAGCACCTGTTGTGACCTTGTGCAACCTGGTAGATGAGAGCCAAGGTCTCGAACACACACACATATACGCTCTGTTCCAAAACCTAGTGAGCATTTAAAGGCATCGATGGTGTGTGAAGGTCAATATGTACGCTATGCATTTCACGCTTTACTGAAGTAGCATAAAACTCAATCAGTTGGCTTTGAAGTGCACGCCAGTTTGGTCACTAGTGAGGTTTCATGTCAGTTAGGATGCTCCCTATGTAGCTCAGTAGGCTTTGAAACAGTCTCTCATGCACACATATGCAGTGTCACCCTTGGCCAGGGGGGCTTTTATGAAATACAAACCTAAAATTTCACATTTTCTCACCACATCCTGACTGTAATATACCTTGCAAACTCCTATAAACTGTATTCAGATCTTAAATATGAGATTTGGATTGTAATGTTTGTGCTAAAATTCTGTCTCATAAAATTGCACAATGTGAGAACTACATTTAAAGGAAGGCATTATTGTCTCATACCGATGAGAAATTAATCAGATATACAAGACTCAAGAGTAGCTCTTAGTGTGTTTGAGTGCATTACTTATGGCACTGCAGCACCATCAGACTAATAAATGATTCTGACATTAGACACATAAACAGTCTGTAACCTGATTTCACTGCACCTTAAAGGAACAGCGCATCCAAAATTAAAAAAGCACATATTTATCCTCATGTCCTTCAAAACCTGTATTACTTTTTTTATTCTGAGGAATAAAAAAAGAGAAGATTTGAAGAATGTTAATGCAACTTTTTTCTATAATATGAAAAGCATAGTTAGTTAAGGATATCAGGCTCCAAAAAAGACCAAAAGCACCATAAAAGTGTCTTAAAATTAGTTTATATCACACTTTATTTCTAAGGAGGTACCTCTGTGCAAAAGTCAACATTATTGAAAAATTCTAGTGTTCAAAAGAAAAGATCAGCAAACTGGTTCAGAATGACATGAGGGTGAGTAAATAATGAGATATTTTTTTCATTTTGGGGTGAACTAATGATGCACTAAAGGCAGCAGTCCTTTGACGATGCAGTGGAGATCATGTACCTTGCTCTGTTAAAATATATGAAACAACACAACAAGTTTCTAAAACACAGAGAGTGTGGTAAATAATATAATCACTGTGAGAAACCAAGGTGAGACATTCGGTGTCCTCTCTGAGAGAGTCACTAATTAGCCTCAGTTTGATATAAAATACATAAACCTTAAAGAGAAAACTATTCGAATGGGTCACCTATTATCAGCTTGGCTGTTCGACTGCATCAAGATGGCTCTTGATGAATTAAATAACACAAGCTACTTCAGCTCTTTTCCAAAACCTAGTGAGCTGCCTACGTAGGCAGTATTTTAAGGCTCTCAGTGTGAGAGCTGTTCAAAAAGGTAGGCAGCATGATTATGCAAACTTCTAAAATGACTTCTTTTGCTGAAGATGCAGAGAATGAGAACTACCATAATGCACTGTATAATCTATTATTGCCTGCATGCATGCAAGAATAGATTATGTTATTATTCCATGCATGCAAAAATAGATTAAGCTATTATTGCATGCATGCATGCAATAATGCAGTAAACCGCCCACTGATCCCCCGGGCACTTGTACGTCAATGCAGCTGCCAGGAATGACAGAATGACAGGACACGGCATTTCATAGATTCAATTATATGACACCATCCCTGACAACATGCATACATCAATCCAGACACGCAGGCTCATCTAGGAGATGCCATTTTTGCAACCGCCGGCAATGTACAATGTTGCTGTTACACTATAAAAAAAAGCTTTTTCGAAGGTTATTATTAATTTTTGGAGTGCATTTTACAAGAAAATATTACATTACAAGAAAATGTTACTTGCTAATTATTTGTGACACTTTCTAGCGATTTCTGAGTAAAAATGGCTTCAAAGTAAATCCTAGACATTCTGCAGATGATCATCTGCACTTGTTTAGATGATTCTCATTTTATTTGTACACAATAAGAATGTGATGCTTTCCAGATGATGCTTACTTTAACAGATGTCTTGGCAATAAAATAATGTTTATGCGGTACAAATGCTTAAAGCAATGAAAGGCTTTGTTTAAAACCTAGTGAACCGTCTACTGTCTACATTTAAGACAGCATCCAAACTGAAATGGAAACGGACTGATTTGGATCACTTGACATAGGCAGGATTAAATTCATTTGAAATAAAATGAGGAATCTATTCAATTCAATGCACTTTATTGTCCTCGATGGGAACATTTGTCTTGGACTTTTGTAATTCTGCCTGCGTCAGAGGTGCATATTATGCCTAAATAGGCAGCACACTATAATTTGGAACACAGCCATTAACACTATATAAAAGTAAAAATGTCCTATTTAATTATAATTAGGACATATGAGTTCAATATATCTACACTGAAATTAAATGCCAATATCATTTCAAATATAGATTTAAATTATATGAAATTCAATGAAATCAAAATAAATTATATGAAATTATTGAGACATAATTTCAATATATCTATATAATATAGCTTTATAATTAAGAGAATTTCATGACATGAATGATTTCATGACATGAATGAGTTTTTAGTAGATTACGTTTTTTTTTATATGCCTATAATAAATTTTAGCTTTTACTTTTAATTGATTTAGTTTTAGTTATTTTAGTCCTTCAACTTAAACTAAACTTAAACTAGTTGAAATAAAACAGGATTATTATTTATTTATTTATTTATTTTTATATTTTCTTTCAGTTAATGTTGATTTTATTTATTTAGTTTTTTCTATGGTTTTAGTTATATTATTTTAATTTTAGTTATTATATTTTTAACACTAATATCTTGAAGTCTATATATCGTTATATCATAAAGCTCATCTTCAGCTCTAATTCAAGCAATATCCAGTAATATGACGTAACTTCAGAGGTGCATCAAAAAAATGAAACGGAAATAGATTGTGTTATATTTCTGGTTAAAACTGAACATTCACTGACATGACTGTGTACATCAGGATTTGTTTGGATTATAAAAAGTACAGACAATAGGACAGTAGACTGCTGAAGTCTTACCCAGTCTAGGGGAGGTGATGGTGTTCACATTGACTTTCACATTACACGTCCCAAGATGACACTGCCTGTACGCGGTGGGCTTCAGGACTGCTGGGCAGTCGCTACCATGGCGACCGGTCACTTTGTGCATGCATTGGACCACTCTGGACTGCAGGCCCCGCCCACAGGATGATGAGCACTGCAATGAACCAATGACGAGATCACAACAGATTAAAACATTTTCCACATCATAACCTGCTCTGACAGACCTCATTTTACTCAGACAATACAGCATCTACTCAATATTTCAATAAAGCTTCTTTCTACTCTTACTCTACTTTGTAACTGTCATGTTTAAATGATAGATTTCAAATCAGGAATACAATCTGATAGCAGTGGTATCATATCTATCACCTGCTCTGAGTCTGAGTAACTTTCACATCCAACCATCATCCCAAACTTGTAATGAGAAGCACTTATCAAAATAAGAAGCTTTATGAAGTTGTTTTCAAAATAAGAGATGATTTAACCTTTGAACAATTTGTATTGTAATTTTAGTTGAAATTTAAAATAAAAGTATTATTTTATTTTTTTGGTTTATTTTATAGTAAAATGTCACAAAAACAATATTTCTTATTTTGTTGTTTAGTATTTTTTTTATTTCATGATAATATTATTGTTATTATTATTAGTTCAGCCCTACAAACAGGCAGCAAAACTGGATTTTTTTTTTTTAATCGCAATTGCAATTATTATTGCAATTCATTGATTCTTAAGCTCAAATCATGCCAAAAAAATCATATTTTTCAGGATGGTCAAGCTAATGCACATGTACGAATATAATATAAAATAGCAAACAGAGGCAACTGGCCAATTTAACTGTAAAAACAGTACTATTAATGAGTGTTATGATTTCTTCCATACATTATTACAAAAGTGGGTCATTTCCTATGCTTACAATGTGACAAATCTCAACAACTGATGACAAACAATTTTAGAATAAATTTAAAAAAAAAATTCTAATAATAAAAAAAAAATAAATAAAAATAACTTTCAACATTACAAAAAAGTAACTAAATATGACAACAGCAACAGCTAAATAAACCAGCAAAAATGCAGCCATACAAATTTAAACAATAACTAAACAATGATCAAAGGAAGGAAAATAAATAAGCATTTTTATACACAGAGTCAAAGGGCCAGCTGAGTCTCCGTCTTTGAACCGGCACTAGTCTTTGTATTACAGACAGTGAACTTTCACGGTCCCCTAATGAGCAGCGCTGTCTCCGGGCAAAGCCGCCGTTTTCTCTTTTCTGTTCAGAAACAATAATGATTCATAAGCCTGGCCCACTTTACATTGTGATCTGTAAGAGCTCAACTCTCAAACGTCTTCGGCTTCCGCTTGGCATTTCTGCTCATGAGGAGTTTAGAACTACATTGTTTTCAAACAAACCACATACTGTACAGTTTATAAAGATTCAGACATTTTCACAGGCCTCCATATTATCAATAAACTCCAAATTATGCATTGTTTAGTAAAGATCATAAATGCAATCGGCACATTACAAGACAACAACTAAAGTTATGAAATAGCCAATAAACATAAAACTGTGACTGCACAAAATATGAATTGATGAAAGCATATTCAAATCGGCCAAAAGATGTCACATACAAACACATACGAGATTCTGAGTGAATCTGCTCACAGCAAACGGACTGAATTAGATTTCCAGAGGAAGACAACAGGAGGAAATGGTTCTTGAATAATGTGTCTTTCTGCTTCCTGTGAGACGAGCAGGAGTCATAATGTCAGCCAATCAGCCGCCATCATCACGCTTAAGACCCAAAGGAAGCTTTATTTCTCCAATAACACTCCGTCGAAATTAAATCAGCGCATCTCTGTGACAATCTAATACATTTTAATAGACTTATAGTTCGACAGGGCAGGAACAAATTCAGTTATTTCATCACTGGCTGAGGAGAGCTGGGAGCAGACAGCATGATGAAATGATAAACACAAAATTCGTTGACCTAATTATGACACAGAGGACATCAAAATACAGTCTAGATCAGGGGACCAAATACATTCAATATTATACACTGAGTGTTGCATTTTAACATGCATATAACATGCTTATAGTTTCATAGTAATGCATTTATATAATTATATTCACATGTGTTCAAAAGTTTGAGGTCGGTGCGATTTTAATGCTTTTGAAAGACTCTTCTGCTCACCAGGGCTGCATTTATTTGATCAAAAATACGGTAAAAAGAGTAAAATTGTGAAATATTATTACAATTTCAAATAACTATTTTCAATTTGAATATATGTTTAAAAAGTAATTTATTCCTGTGATGTAAAGCTGAATTTTCAGCATCATTACGCCAGTCTTCAGTGTCACACGATCCTTCAGAAATTTGTTGCTCAAGAAACATTCCTTATTATTATCAATGCTGAAAACAGCTGTGCTGCTTCATATTTCTGTGAAAATCGTGATATATTTATTTTTCAGGATTCTTTGATAAATAGAAAGTTCAAAAGAACACCATTTATTTGAAATAGACTCTTTTGTAACATTATAAATGTATTTACTGTTACTTTAAAACAATTTTAATTAAAAGTATTAATTTATTTCTATAAATAAAAATCTGTAACACTTTACAATAAGGTCTCTTTAGTTGATGTTAGTTAATACTTCTTTTTTTTTTCAATTTTAATTTGTTAATTCATATTAGCTCACGACCATTAAATAATTTGAACTGATAAAACTTTTGATTTGAATCATGTATTATTAAGTGTTAAAATTAACACTAACTAAGAATAATAAACAAAATGTTCCTTGTTAAATTTAGTTGACTAATGTTAACAAATGGAACCTTAGTAAAGTGTAACCTGCACATCTTCCAGAGCCCAAACTTTTGAGCAGTAGTGTAATTTGCCATTTGGTTCACTTTTCTAGAACAGTTTTATTTCTTCTCTGAGATCAAACAGTAATTGTCGCAGACCCCCTGTTGGAGACCCCCGGGCTGGAGAAACAGAGCTGTCGGCTGCCATGACTGCAGACGAAACAAACGAAAATTGTTTTGCGAAGTGGCAAAAAGTGCATGAAAGCAATACACTTCCCTGCCTCCGAGGAACCCGAACTCCTTTCAGCGACGCACAGAACTTCACGTTTACAGGGGACGACGGGCTATTGAAAATGAAATCAGCGTGGCAGGTTAGCATTGATCTCAGCGCTGCCTGTCGCTAGAGTCTAGTAAATAACTGCAGTCAGGGAAAGTGTGAGTGATGGAGTGATTTCACAACGACACCACATGTGCTGTGAATGAGAAGAGACGTCCCAAAAACATCTCATCTGCTGATCAAAGGCGGCTCTGAATCACAATCTACGACTCCCTCAAGAGAAGACCATGGCTGATTTGAGCTAATAAATATGACAAAGCTCTTTAACGTCTGTCGTGTGAAAGGAGAGCACCCTTACAGACGAAGAGCAACACAGAAACTCCTGAGATCTTCTTAACATTAACATAACACAGCATTTCAAAATTACTGTGGAAACTATTTTAGAAATGCTACATTACCACAACAGTAGCCTAGAACAATGACTAAATAGCTGTTTGGATTTTGGTCAAAATAAAGTGGGCTGTTGGTTAATATTGATGGGATACTTTAGCCAAAAAAGGTCATTGCTTATTCACTCTCATGTCGTTCCAAACCTCTATGACTCTGTGTTGTTGCTGTTAACTAAAACTATTAAAAATCAAACTAAAATAAAGCTTTAAAAAATAGATTAACTTGAAAAACATTGTTACTGTTATTAATGTTGTTAACTAATACTAAATCAAACAATTAAAAATGGTTAATCGTTAATCGGATTAAAACTAGAAAGAATTTAAAACTGTAAAAAAACATAAAAGTAAATAAAATAAAAAGTCTGAGTTGAGGTAATAAAATTATTAAATCTGAAATAAATGTAATTAAATAAATCAAAAATAGCTAAATACCTAAAAATGACAAAAGCACATACAATTTTTAAAACTTTAATCAAACTTAAAATGAAAACTGTAAATATATATTCAAATTATTTCAAAATATTAACAAATAATATAAAAATATATAAATACTGAAATGCAAAAAAAACAAAAAAAGCACAAAATGTTCCAACGCTTTTGTTGTCCACGCTGTAAAAATTTTGGTGCAGGATTTACTTTGAAACAATTTTCACTCAGAAATTGATAGTACATTTCACAACAATTACAAATAAATGAATTTAATTAAACATTACATTTTTAAAAGACTCAAAAAGTATTTTCTTGCAAAACATATTCCAATAAGCTTAGTTTTATTTCCAAAATATTTTTGTGTGTGTGTGTGTGTATATATATATATATATATA